AGGCTAAGCCACTGGACCCGGCCTATGATCCTATTTATATTTTAAAATATATCTTGTATTGTGAGTTTACATACATACATATACGCTTATGAATGTTTTTTTTGTGTGTGTGTGAAGTTGTGGGGTACAGTTAAGGGTTAGGTATACAATTGCGTTTCATTCAGGCACCCTGTTGATATGGGGTGTTTCCCCGTTCCCAGACAGATATTTGCTACTGTTAATCCCATCTCCCTCCCCCACCATAGTTTCCCAGTACGGTCAGTCATTTTCGTATAGTATTGCATTGGATGTTTAAGGTCCATTATATGAGTGAGAACATGTGATACTCGGATCTTTGTTTCTGTGAGAGGTCACTCAGTATTATACACTCTAGTTCCATCCAGGTTGCTGTGAAATTCATGATTTTGTTCTTTTTTATGGCTGTGTAGTATTCCATCGTGTATATGTACCAGTTTTTAAATCCAGTCCTCTTTTGATGGATAGCATGGTTGTTTCCAGGTTCTTGCTATTGTGAACAATGCTGCGATAAACATATGTGTACAGGTATCTTTTTATAGAGTGATTTGAGTTCTTCAGGGTATATTCCCAGTAGGGGGATTGCGGGATCATATGGGAGGTCGATATTTAGAGCTTTTAGGAATCGCCACACTGCTTTCCACAGAGGTTGCACTAGTATACACTCCCACCAACAGTGTAGAAGTGTTCCCTTTTCGCCACACCCTCTCCAGCAGCTATTATTTTTTGAGTTGTTGATAATTGCCATTCTGACTGGAGTTAGGTGGTATCTCAGTGTGGTTTTGATTTGCATCTCCCTGATGATTAGTGAGGTTGAACATTTCTTCATGTGTCTGTTGACTGCTCGGATGTCCTCTTTTGTGAAGTGTCTGCTCATATCTTTTGCCCTTTTGATAATGGGGTTATTTGGTTTTTTCTTTTCAGCACGTTTGAGTTTCTTGTAGATCCAGGATGTTAAGCCTTTGTCAGACCTGGTGTTGGCAAATACTTTTTCCCAGTCTGTAGGCTGTCTCCCTGCTCTCTTGATGGTTTCTTTGACCTTGCAGAAGCTTGTCAGTTTAATAAGTTCCCACTTGTCTATCTTCTCTCTTATGACCTGTGGGTTTCGGGTTTTGTTCAGGAATTGGATGCCAGTTCCGATTCCATGAGGGT